TGCTGGGGGATTGAACCGCGGTCCCTGATGCTTTTGCTAAGCTTGTTCTAAGTAGGTGCTTTAGACCACTGAGCCATCTCTCCAGCCCCAAAGACCCAGGTTTGATCTCCAGTACTACATGCCATGCTGGCCCTGTGCCGAGCCAGCCACCAAAACAGGACATGGTGTCGCACGCTTGTAATCCCAGTGCTGGGAAGGCTGCACTATCTTCCTCTCTGAGCTGCATAGTGAGTCCCTATACCAAATAAATAAATAAATAAATGATTTTTTTAAAAATTGGGGGGCCGGGGAGATAGTTTATGCAGTGGCATAAGCGCCTGCCTGGCAAGTGTAAGGTCCCAAGTTCTATCCCAAAAAAAAAAAAAAAAAAAAAAAAAAAAAAGAGCTAAACAAGATCACTAATAGGATTTCAAAATGTTAAATTCAGAGCCAGGCATGGTTGTACATGCTTGTAGTCTCAGCACTCAGGAGCTGAAACAGGAGGGCCACAAGTTCAAGGCCAGCCTGGGCTACATAGTGAGACTCTGTCTCAAGAAAACAAAACAAGTAAATAAGCAAATTCAGATGTCTGGCCCTTCCCTACTTGAGAACATTGTAGAAAAACTCTAAGGATTGACAGCTACTTATTTATAGTTAGGCAAAAAGGAACGTTTTCTGGCCTACCCGGAGCATCATCTTTCCTTCCTGCGTTTCAGCCTGGCATTTGCTTGAATGGAAAAATCTATTGCAATGAAAAACAACTGAAGAAAGAAAGAAAAAGGGGGCTGGGGAGATGGCTCAGAAGAATAAGTGCTTGTCTGGCAAGTGCAAGGGCCCGAATTCAAACCCCAGTTCTGCCCAAAAAAAAAGAAGAGAGAGAAGAAAGAAAGAAAAACTGGAGCACCAGTGAATGAAAATAATAGAACTGTCTCAAATACTGTGTGGCCATAGTCACATCAGCAAGGTTTAAATAATAATGGCTTCATTTCCAAGCCTGGGATTGTTTCTCTACCCCAGCACTCATCATGTTATGCTGTCACTGCCTTCTCAATCTTTTGCTGCTGTTACTGCTCTAGTGCTCCATGCTGGTAGTCATGTGTGTCATCAGCGCCTGCGCAATGACAGCCTTTTTTTTTTTTTTTTTTTGCGGAACCGGGGATTGAACTCAGGCCCTTGTGCTTGCCAGGCAAGCGTGTATTCCATTGAGCATCTCCCCAGCCCCTTGCAATGACATCTTGATACAGTTTTGCTGATCCATCAGCAGCTCTACAAAAGATAAGTTTATGCAGGGCATGGTGGTGCACACCTGCAGTCCCAGTGCTCGAGAAGCTGAGGCAGGAGGACTGAGAGCTCCAGCCCAGCCTGGGCTACATAGTCTCACAAAGGAGAGAGACAAAATTACTGTTTCCATTTTACCAGTGTCTCAAGTTAGTCTCAGAGAACTCAAGTACCTTCCTCATATTGAGCTAGGATTCAGCACCCTTTTTCTTTTACTGTATTGTGCCATAAGCCCTTGTGCTTATAACCTTCCTCTAATCAAAACCGCATCTCAATCACTTGGTGCTAGAAAGGCTTTCTCGGTGTGTGTGCTAGACCTGAGGTTCCAACATCAAAAGACAAGGGTAAGAGGTCTCGGGGCTGGGCTGTAGCTCTGAGACAGAGCTCTTGCCTATGCATAGGTCCTGAGTTCAAGCTGCAGCCCTCAAAAAGAAAATAAGAGGGTACATCTGAAGAGCTGCTTTTGCTCAGACCTCTTTGTTTTTTCTTCAGTCTTACTGTTCATACTTAGACATTTCTCTGAGGGCCAGCAGACATAGAAGACAGAGAGAGACAGGAGACAGGGAAAAGAAAACATTGAAATCTATCGAGTTGGTCTGTGAAGGTCGGGTTCATTGAGGCTGTGGGTAAGGCTTGGGCAAAATAAAGTTGAGAAGTCATCTATCAGTGTTAGCACTTTTTGTACCATTTCTTCTAAAAGGAATTAAAGGTGATGGTTCCTATTCTGAGGAGCTTGCAATTCAAGCTAGGAATCGTTCCTGCTGAGAGGTTGGTCATGGCCATGAAAAGCCTGAAGTGAATCACCATTTGCTTGCTGCACAAACAAGGACTGTGAATACTGTTGCAGTACTGGTCAGAGGTGGCCCTGCTTCTGTTTGTCCTGGAACAGTTTCTGGAGGAGGCTAAGTCCTGGCTGCTTCGGGGCCAGCCCAAGGCACCTTCCTTTTTGTTCCTTACCATCCCCTCCCAAGGCCTTACAGGTTTTCCTTTTGCTGTCCCTGAAACTCCCTGCGTGGAATCCTCCTGGCTTCTTTTAGGCCTATTCTGGGGGTGGAGGGGGATATGTTTAAATGTGAGGGTTTGCTTTTTGTTTGTTATTGTTCCTTCCTTTGAGTGGTACCAGAGTGAGTGAGAACCTGCTCTGGACTTCTGGCTTTTTCTTGTGGCATCACTTCTGGCCTTTGACTAAGATCGAGTGTATGTTTCATGTCACTTCCTGTGAGAAGAGGGGCATGGGCATGGGCCCCCAGCAGCTTGCCTTTGCTGTCCTGCTGCGCTCTGCCCCTCATCTGAGCTATGAGAAGCTCTGAGCTGGGCTTAGGAGGAAGTGAACTGCCTGCTTGAGTTTTATGGATTCTAGTGATTTATGGCCATTCAGTCATAGTGTTCCCATCTATTCACAAACTAGTGTACAGAATTTATGACCTTTGTTTTGTTTTGTTTTTTTCCAGAACCGGGGATTAAACTCAGGCCCTTGCACTTGCCAGGCAAGCGCTTATTCTACTGAACCATCTCCCCAGCTCCAGTGCCTTAGTTTTGAGCCTGAAAAATAAAAAGAGTAGTGATCACATCTACTAGAAACCTCAGATTTGGGGCTGGAGATATGACAGTCTTATACTAGAGAAAGGCTTTTTGGGACAGGGTCTTGCTATGTAGTCCAGGCTGGCCTCAAGCCTGTAATGATCCTCCTGCCTCAGCCTCCAGAGTGCTGGGACTACTGGCCTGAGCCACCATTCCTTGCTTTATTTGCTGTCTTTATGAACTTGGGCAAATGATTAACCTTTTGGAGGTTTGGTTTCTTCATATGTAAAATGAGGGCACAGCAATTGACATTTGACAGATGTTGTAAAGTGAGATAATATTTGTGAGCATATGTTATGAACCATAAAACTTGAGGGGATGTAAGACATTTTCGGTGCACTGGGACTTGGAGTGTTATCATAGTGCAGGGCCAGGAACTATCTGAAGGTCATCTTTCCAGGTGTGTTTATTCCCTCCCCTCTGCCAGGCAAATTCATGGTTAACCGGCCTCACAACAGTGTGGCACTGCCTATCACACCACACGTGAGTCCACTGAGCACCGTGTAGTGGGTAGCTTCCTGACCCTGGCTTGATACTGACTTTGTGAAAATGTTTGTGAAACCAGGCACGGTGGCACACTCTACAATCCCAGCACTGGGGAGGCTGAGGTAGGAAGACCATAAATTTGAGCCCAGCTGAGGCAGTATAGTGAGAAAAAAAAAAGCTGGGAATGTAGCTCAGTGCACAGGCCCTGGGCTCAAGCCCCAGGACTGCAAAATAAAATAATAAGCTTTTGGAATGCCATGCCCCACCAGGGTGAAGCACAGCTCTTTCATGAAATTAGCAATAGCCTAGGCTTTTTTTTTTTTTTTTTTTTTTTAGTTTTTAGGGAAGGGTCTACAGGGTATTCAGGGTCTCACTATTAGATCAGACTCGTAGTGATCCACCTGTTTACAGCCTCCCAAGAGCTGAAATTGCAGGCACATGCCACCATGCCCAGTCTCAATTCCGGTCTTAGCACACCCCAGGGGCAGGGCTGGCACCGCAGGTCCGGGGATCGAACCCCTGGCCCCTGCACCTGTGCGCAGCCACTTTCATCCACTGAGCTATTTGGCCAGCCCTTGGCCTAGGCTTTTTTTTTTTTTTTTTTTTTTGGTGGAACTGGGGATTGAACTCAGGCCCTTGCACTTGCCAGGGAAGTGCTTATTCTACTGAGCCATCTCCCCCTGGCATAGGCTTATTGCCATTAAGATTTTTTTTTTTTTTTTCTGTACAAGGTCTCACTACACAGATCAGACTCATAGTGAGCCTCCTGTTTTCAGCCTCCCAAGTGCTAGGATTACAGGATCGTGCAACCATGCCCAGTCTCAGTTGCCATCTCAGTACACCCTAGGGGCAGGGCCAGCAGGCCAGGAATCAAACCCCTATCCCTATGCGCCATTAAGATGTTTTACTACTGAGTTGAAGAAAATTATGAATAAAAGGTCTTTGTCCAAGGTCCCTGGGGTAGCTGCCTCTAGGATGGTGTGTCACACAGTAATCTGCTATGGGGAGGCGCAGGACCAAAGCTGTGGCCACACCTACCTTTGTCTGCTTCCTCTCTACACTGTCCCTTAATGTTTTCCAGGGAGATGTTCCTCAAACGACCGGACAACATCGTAGAATTCGCTACAGGTGAACGTGGCAGCTTCAGTGTGGGATGTGGTACAGTTGTGCCCAGCTGTGGCCAGTGGGGGTTTAGGCCTGGATGGCCCAGCAAGGGTTCCCCTGCCACGTCTGGGATCCTCCCTCACCTGATGGTCCCCAACGGAGCTGTATCAGAAGGCATTGTTGCTCCACTGTTGATTCCTTAAAATTAGGCCAGATAGGAAATGAGGCAGAACTTCCTCTTGGGGAGGATTAAGAATTTTGAGATTCCGAAAGGAAACGCTGGCTGCCCTTTCCCTGGGCATCTCACAGCAGTCCTGACCCTGGCTGTACATTAGAATCACCTGGGGAGCTTTTAAAACATTCCAGCGCTCAGGCCCCCCACTAGAGATTTTTACTTAATTAGTGTGGGTGGGGCCCTGCCCATAGTTTTAAAGGCTCCCCAGGTGATTTCTAATGGACAGGGGCTGCCCAGCAGGGCTTAAGGTCAATGGTATTTAGAGGGAAGGTGCTGGGCCAGCCAATGGCTTGGGTGCTGTGAACTCTGGGAGCTGTTTGCCTCCTCCAACTGCTTCTCACGATCTAAGTCTGTCTTTGCTGCCACAGCAGATGCTGCCTGTGACTCATTTACTGCCAGTTGTATAAAAACCCTCTTCTGTCGTCATCCTGCGGAGCCTGGCTCTCCTTGGGAGGGGTTCTCAAGGGAGGGCTCCACAGTACTTCAGAGGCAGGAGCTGGCAAGCCAAGTGGAGACGAGAATAATCATTGACATTTATTTGAGCCCCACGATGGGCCCAGAACAGAAAACCCAGGCAATCCCTGAGCCTCGATGGCTCCCTGGACATCAGCAAGCAGCCAGCAAATGGCCTGGTACAGTGTGGCGGGAGTGTCTGATGTGAGCCCTTCCTGGGGCTGTGAGCTGCCCCATCCAGAGCCACTCTAGGGAGGGTCACGCGACACTTATGCTGTAAAGTGGGGCATTCACAGCAGTCTGAGGACTAAGCCATCCTAACTTTTTAGCAGAGTAAGCTGCCTCCTCCCAGTCTTTTCCCCTTGAGTATAGATGATTTCTTTTTGATTTTTATCCCAGACTATTTCACGGATCCAAGACTTCCCAACAAGATTCACATGCAGCTAATTAAAGAGAGGAAAGTGACTTAATTAGCAAAATCACCATGCTCAGCTGTTGGGAGAGACCAGACGGAACCCAGCCTCGGGTAGGTGTTAACTTCACTTACACATGGCATGGCTTCGCTCCTGAGAAAAGCAGCACTGGCTTATTGGTCTGGAGTGTGAGAGAAAGCAAGTGGAGAAGCCAAGGAGGAGTTTCATGAAAGCTTTTGGTTTTCCTGACACTGTTTTGGGGAATTAGGGACTGCAGAGAGGCTCAGAAACTGTCTAGCATGCCAGTGCCAGGGATCTTCCTGTCTGGTGACTTGGATTAGGAGAAATGGAAACACAGGCTGGTGAGCGAGGCAGCGAAAGAAGGGGACTGGCACGAAGCGGTGGGTGCTCCTGCCTACAGCATTTCCCCAGGACACTGAGGGGTCAGGAGCCAGAGCAGCTTCCCTGGGTGCAGCTTGGATAGGGCACCTTCCCCTGTCCTCACTTTGAGTCGGGCTGTGCCATAATGCAGGGAGGACGGATGGTTCCTGGCACCATTATGAAGGCTGGGATTTTTCTTTAATGCGAAGTGGGAAAAGGCTACTTTGCCTTAAATGGTTCTAATTTAGCAGAACCATTTCTGTTTTCTAGGGTCATCTGGATGCAAAGAGCCCAGCTGCCGTCAGCACGGGTTTGCAGGCTGCCTCGGATTCTGTCTGCTGTGGCAAAGGCTTTTAAAGATCCTCATTAAAAATAGACCTTCCTGCTCTCTGTGCCTTATCTCACGGGGGTGGGGACACTGGCCTCTGTCTGCTCCCTGGCAGCCGGGGGCCCCAGATATGGTGGGTCCTCTCTGCAGCCGCACCCAGAACTGGGACCAGAGCAGAGAGCCGTGGGGACCGCAAGGGCCACAGTGGGTCCTGGTGGGGCAGAAACAAGCGAGTTGACATTTCATCATCTTCCCTTCTGGGGGGCTGTACCGGTAAGGTGATGATTAACTTCTTTCCACAGAAGCAGTGGGGAGGGGAGTCGGGCTGGAAGGGTGAGAGAGAATGTGGTTGGACACTCAGGGCATGCATATTGTACAAGGTCACCTAACAGTGACTCAGGTGGGGGACTTTGTCCTCAAGGACTTTTAGGAACAAGCTGCTCATCTAAGAGGCAGGGCATGGGCCAGGTGGCCTCAGTGAAGTCCTTTTCAGGCCCAGAAGACCTGGGATCTTCCGATTCTTCTGTCTCTGGCCTCTACAGTCTGCCTTTCCACGCTCACCTGTGTATCACGTGTCAGTATCACCATGGCAACAGAAGCACAGCCTGAAGCAGGGATTGTGTTAGTTTTACTCCCCGTGCCTCTGCCTGCCTTGTTCACAGCCGCCATCACCCCAAGTAGTAGAAGGGTCAACAAAGCAGGGCATTTAGGGGACTGTTAAAACTATGCCTGATCAGTTGTGGACCAAAAGTCCCCGGAGTTTTTAAGTGGCTCTCAGAATCAGAGGCAGGGGTGGCTCTGACAGACGGGAAGATAGTCTTGTTGAGAAAACCCAAACAAAGCCTTCAGCAAAAACTCGTCCACCAGGCCCTCTGGCGCGAAGCATGATCTCAGACACTCCTGGGCCTCTCTCCCTGTAGAGGGCTGAATGGCTTTCAGAGTGTCGGCAAAGCTCCGGGACTGGGTGAAGCTTCTTCCTGGGGGCTCCTGGTGGAAGGAAGACTGTGTTTCTCCTAAAATGTATACATTTAACATGCATCTCAAAGCCTCAATGAGAAGAAATGTATTTAAAACATGGTTATTGTGCTTCTGCTTTGTGTGAAATACCGTGCCACGTCCTGGAAAAGAACATGGACCTTCTGCCATTCGGTCACTGAGGGTCTGGGGAGGGCGCGTCTTTACGCTTGTATCTTTACCTGCCTGGGTGTCTCATTGTTAGACTGAAAGCTTCATGAGGGTTGGAGCCAAACCTGAAAGTCTAACTTGTTTGCCACTGAAACCCTCGCTCCTAGCAGCGAGTGGGCCGGAGCCGTGCTCAGCCAGCGGAGCCAGCGGTGCCGAGCAGCTGTGCACCGCCAGGGACGCAGGTACCGCAGCGGAGGGGAAGGAGGCTCAGCGGCCCGTGCTGGGCAGAGAACCCAGGAGCTCTCGCTTGGCTGGCAGGTGGCAAAGCCAGAGCTGGCTGCTGTCTGCTCATCCTCATTACTTTGCTAACAGAACTTAAGATTCTAGGAAAACTTTTGCTTTCTAGAAAAAAGGTGGGGGTATAAAAGAACAAGCTCAGGTGGCCCTCCTTTTCCTTTTGACTTGGATCTCAATGTGGTGACGAGAGCTGAGTAGCCACCTTCAGTCACAGGGCAAGGTTGGAAGCCAGTCCTCTACAGTGGCTGTGAGAGCAGATGACGGGATCCTGGCAACTTCCATGGGCTTGGAGGACCTGCAAGATAACAGCTCCCTTCTGACTTATAGGTAAGTAAGAGTGGAGAGTGGTGAGTTCTTTTTTTTTTCTCTCATGTTTGGTACAGGGTCTCACTGCACACTTTGGACTTGCAGTGATCCTCCTGTTTTCAGTCTTCCCAGTGCTGGGATTATGGGTGTGTACCACCACATCTGGTCTTAGTGGCTGGCTCAGCGTGCCTGGGGGCAGGGGTGGTACAGCATGTGGTGCTGGGGATTGAACCCCAGTCCCTGCGCTTGCCCTAGCAGGTGCTTAGTCCACTGAGCTATCTTGCCAACTCTGAGGGTGGTGAATTCTAATTTTTTTTTTTCCGTATCAAGGATTGAACTCATGACCCTGTGCTTGCCAGGCAAGCACTTATTCTACTGAGCTATCTCCCTGGGCCCCTGAATTCTAATTTAAAAAAAAAAAAAAAAAAAAAAAAAAAAAGGCCAGAGTTTAAGTCTGAATCCAGAACTCAGCAGATGTGTGGCCTTGGCTAAGAGGTGATCTTGGGGTTGTTGGGCCAAACCTAATGGGGTGGACGTGCCTGGCCCCAGAGGGTCTTCAAGTTGTCTAGGGGAAGGAAGAGACAGCAGACAGGAAGTGGTCAGATAACTGAAGTTACAGGTCCTGGGCAAAGAAGGTTAGATGTTTCCATGTGGCAATGAAGGGCCTGGGAGGGGTTTTAAGTCACAAGGAGCTCATGAAGGGCAGATGGTGTGGAAGACAAATCAGAGGAAACTAAGACTAGAAATGGAAAGACCTGCAGGGAGATGACCTCTGTGGCCAGAGCCATGGTCATCTGTCATCTGCACATCTCTTCTTGCCCCTCTGTGAACTCTGTCCACTGTGGCAGTTGGGAATGTATTTAACAGCGAGTAATGCAAGACCCAGTTTACAGTGACTTACAGGAAGGTGTCTGCCCACCAAGCAAGGAGTGGCAGCAGGCAGGAGTCAAGGTCTCAGACACTGCCCAGCACCTCTGGCGCTGTGTTTTTCACTTGCAGTCTTAGCCCGTCACCTGCTGGCTGCACAAAGGCGCTGTACTCCAAGTCACTTCCGCACTGAGGCAGGAGAAGGCGGAGCCACACCAGCCCACTCTGTGACTCCGTCTGAACAGGAAGAGGTGATCTCTTGTCCTTTTTCCACCTCACAGGCCCACCTCAAAGTCAGCAGAGACCCCGACAGGGAGCAGAGGGAAGCCGGGAGTAACTGTCAGGTCTGTTGAAGGCCATGTCTGCCTGTCCCGTGCAATAGATGGGTCTTTTTTTCTTCCTTTCGGGGGTGCCTGGGGGGTGTGCTGCAGATTGAAGTTAAGCCTTTGTGCATGTGAAGCAAGTGCTCTACTGCTGGTCTACACACCATCCCTGCTACAGGAATCAGTAAATCAGTGTCAAGCCAGGAGTGGTGGTGCATGCCTGTAATTCCTGCACTCTAGGGAGCTGGTAAGAATTCCAGATTTCAGGGCTGGTGAGATGGCTCAGTGGTCTAAAGCACCTACTTAGAACAAGCTAAGCTAAACAAAGCACAGGGACTGCGGTTCAATCCCCCAGCACCACATGCCAACCAGCCCCGCCCCCTGGTGGGGTGAGCTGGTCACACACACACACACACACACA